GGGGACAGGGACAGGGGACAGGGATGGGGACAGGGACAGGGGACAGGGATGGGGACAGGGACAGGGGACAGAGACGGGGACAGGGACGGGGCCAAGGCCACGCTCCCCAGGTGCTCACCAATGAGGGCCACCTTGCTCTCCTTCATGGAGTCCACCACCCGATCCAGCTTCTCCTCGGACGCCGTGTTCTGCACCTCGCTCAGGTGGTGCTCGTCGAAGAGCACGGGGACATTGCCAGCCTGGCATGGGGACAGGGCCACCCACGGTCACCTTGGGGACACCCCAGGGGGACACCCCAGGGGGACACGGAGCCCTGAGCCAGCCGGGGCCGGGATCGCCGCAGTGCCGGTGGCATGGTGACACTGAGGGAAGCAGGGGACATTCCCCCTGGGAAAACCCTCTGAGGTGGCCCCGGCACTGCCAAGGCCACCCCTCGGGATGTCCCCAAGTGCCACATGCACAGGGCTGGTCAATCCCTCCAGGGATGGGGACTCCCCCACTACCTTGGAGAGCCAGTTTTAGGTGGAGTTGTCCCAAGATCCCAAATCCAATTATCCCAAATCCCTCCAGGAACGGGGATTTGCCCTCTGCCCGTGGGCAGCACCAGTGGGGACAGAGGGCACAGGGACACACAGGGACGTTTAGGGACACTCAGGGACATTGAAGAACTCATGGGGACATGCAGGGATGCTAAGGACACTTGGGGACACACAGGGACATTCAGGGACACTCAGGGACATTGAGGAACTCACAGGGACACGCAGGGACACAGAAGAATCCTCAGGGATGCTCACGGACACACAGGGACATTTAGGGACACTCAGGGACACACAGGGACATTGAGGGACATTGAGGAACTCACAGGGACACTTGGGGACACACAGGTATATTTAGGGACTTTTAGGGACACTCAGGGACATTGAAGAACTCAAGGAACACAGAGGAATCCTCAGGGATGCGCACGGACACTCGGGGACATTTAGGGACATTTAGGGACACACAGGGACATTTAGGGACACTCAGGGACATCGAGGAACTCACAGGGACACTTGGGGACACTTGGGGACACTTGGGGACACTCGGGGCCAGCTGCTGCTGGTGTCCCCGTGCCGTACCTTGAAGACCTCCTTGACAGCGTGCATGAGCTCCGGGCCCACGCCGTCCCCCGGCAGCATCGTCACCTGGAACGTCCCCTCAGCCCTGTGGGACTGCGGGGACACGGCGGGGTCACCCCAAAAACAGCCCAAACGGGGCCAGGGGGACCCCCCGAGGGGCTGGGCCACGTCACACCCATGGGGACACCCCAAAACCAGCCCCAAACTGGGCCAAGGGGACCCCCCGAGGGGCTGGGCTGTGTCACACCCACGGGGTCACCCCAAATCCAGCCCCAAACCAGGCCAAGGGGACCCACGAGGGGCTGGGCTGTGTCACACCCACGGGGACACCCCAAAACCAGCCCCAAACTGGGCAAAATGGACCCCCGAGGGGCTGGGCTGTGTCACACCCACGGGGTCACCCCAAAACCAGCCCCAAACCAGGCCAAGGGGACCCACAAGGGGCTGGGCTGTGTCACACCCACGGGGACACCCCAAAACCAGCCCCAAACGGGGCCAGGGGCTGTCCCCCGAGGGGCTGGGCCGTGTCGCACCCACGGGGTCACCCCAAAACCAGCCCCAAACCAGGCCAAGGGGACCCCCGAGGGGCTGGGCTGTGTCACACCCACGGGGTCACCCCAAAACCAGCCCCAAACCGGGCCAAGGGGCTGCAGGGCTGGCAAATTCCCCCAATGTCCCCCCAGGTGACCCTTGGGGACACCCAGAGCGCTGCTGGCACCGCTCGGGGCCGTGTCCCTGTCCCCGCCGTGCAGAGCCCCCCTGAACCCCCTTTTCTCCTCCCCCAAGCCCCTCCTTGCCCTGGGCACGCTCCAGGGGCTGTCCCACGGGGCACAGGGCCGGGATGGAGATGTCACCCCCTGTCCCTGGGCCACCACCCCTGGTGACAGCAGCGGTGACCTTTTCGTGCTCAGCACTGCCCGAAATAGCCCGAGCCTGTGCCCAGAGGGGTTCCTGAGCCCCCCGTGCTCCTAAATCCCCTCATCCCCACCCTCAGGAGCTCCTGGAATGCTGCACAGCCATTTTTAGGAGAAATATCCCCAGTATCCCACCCAAATCTCTCCAGGAATGGGGAATTTCCATTTTTCTTTTCAGGATGGATTTTCCCAATATTCCAGCAGATCCCAGTGTTCCTAAACCCCCTACCCCTGTCCTCAGGAGCTCCTGGAATGCTGCACAGCCATTTTTAGGAGAAATATCCCAAATACCCATCCCAAATCCCTCCAGGAATGGGGAATTTCCATTTCTCTTTTCAGGATGGATTTTCCCAATATCCCAGCACAACCCAATATTCCTAAATCCCCTGTCCCTGCCCTCAGAAGCTCCTGGAATGTTGCAAAGCCATTTTTAGGAAAAATATCCCAAATATCCCACCCAAATCTCTCCAGGGATGGGGAATCTCCATTTCTTTTTTCCAGCAGGATTTTCCCCAATATCCCAGCACAGGCTGGTGTTCCTAAATCCCCTCACTCCTGCCTTCAGGATCTCCTGGAATTTTGGACAGCCATTTTTAGCAGAAATATCCTCAATATCCCACCCAAATACCTCCAGGGATGGGAAATCCCCATTTCTCTTTTCAGGAAGAACTTCCCCAGTATCCCATCACAGGCCCGTGCTCCTAAATCCCCTCGTTCCTGCTCCCTGCCCTCAGGATTTCATGGAATTTTGGACAGCCATTTCTAGGAGAAATATCCCCAATATTCCACCCAAATCCCTCCAGGGACGGGGACTCCCCATTTCTTTTTTCCAGGATGAATTTTCCCAATATCCCAGCAGATCCCGGTGTTCCTAAACCCCCTCAGCTGCTCCCCCCCAGGGCAGCTCCCAAAGCCCTCAGGGAAGGGAGGAAAGCTGAGAGGCAGCAGCTGGGAGCTGCAAATAAACCGGGAATGGATCCCACAGGGCTCAAGGTCACCTTCCCTGGGCCACCAAAATCGGGGAATTTTGGGGGGTTGGGGGTCTCTCCAAAGGCCCATCACCCCCCTCTCCTCCCATTGGGGGGTTTTGGGGGGTTTTGGGGGGTCCCCCCCACTGACCTTGGCCTGGGGCTGCTGCAGGAGGGCGGCCGAGGTGCCCAGCCCCCGCCAGGCCCCGAGGCTCTGGGCACGCAGGAGAACCTGGGGGTGCAGCAGGTCAGAGAGCCCCGCCCGGGGGCACCCCAAAAATCCTAACCCACCCCAAAAATCCTCCCCCAACCCCCCCGAGCCCAAAATGGCACCCCTGAAATGGCAGACCCTGAGCCAGCCCAAAGTGAACCAGCCCAGGCCGGAGCGAGCCCCCCAAAACCCCTGAGAGACCCCAAACCCCTGTGAGACCCCAAACCCCTGTGAGACCCCCAACCCCTGAGAGACCCCAAAAACCCCCGAGCCCCCCAAAACCCCTGTGAGACCCCAAACCCCTGTGAGACCCCAAACCCCCGAGCCCCCCAAAGCCCCTGTGAAGACCCCAAACCCCTGTGAGACCCCAAATCCCACTGACACCCCCAAACTCCCCTGACGCCTCACTGACACCCTCAAACCCCTTTGAGACCCCCAAACCCCTGTGAGACTCCAAAAACCCCTGAGACCCCAAACCCCTGTGAGACCCCCAAACCCCCCTGACCCCCCCAGACCCCTCAAACCCTTCACTGACCCCCCCAGACCCCTCTGAACCCCCCAAACCTCTCTTGACTCCTCTCACCGACCCCCCCAGACCCGTCTGAGTCCCCCAAATCCGTCTGACCCCTCACTGACCCCCCAAAACACGTCTGACCCCCCAGACCTCAATGACTCCCCCCCCCCAAACCCTCACTGACCCTCCCAGCCCTCACGGAGCCCCTCACCCCTCAGTGACACCCCCAAACCCTCACTGGCTCCTCATGGACCCTTTCACCGACCCCCCCAAACCCCTCTGACCCCTCACGGACCCCCCNCCTGTGAGACCCCCAAACCCCTGTGAGACCCCAAAGCCCCTGTGAGACCCCCAAACCCCTGTGAGACCCCAAACTCCTGTGAGACCCCAAACCCCTGTGAGACCCCAAATCCCACTGACACCCCCAAACTCCCCTGACGCCTCACTGACACCCTCAAACCCCTTTGAGACCCCCAAACCCCTGTGAGACTCCAAAAACCCCTGAGACCCCAAACCCCTGTGAGACCCCCAAACCCCCCTGACCCCCCCAGACCCCTCAAACCCTTCACTGACCCCCCCAGACCCCTCTGAACCCCCCAAACCTCTCTTGACTCCTCTCACCGACCCCCCCAGACCCGTCTGAGTCCCCCAAATCCGTCTGACCCCTCACTGACCCCCCAAAACACGTCTGACCCCCCAGACCTCAATGACTCCCCCCCCCCAAACCCTCACTGACCCTCCCAGCCCTCACGGAGCCCCTCACCCCTCAGTGACACCCCCAAACCCTCACTGGCTCCTCATGGACCCTTTCACCGACCCCCCCAAACCCCTCTGACCCCTCACGGACCCCCCAAACCCTCACTGACCCCTCACTGACCCCCCAAACCCTCACTGACCCCTCACGGACCCCACCAAACCCTCACTGACCCCTCACGGACCCCTCACCCCTCACTGACCCCTCACAGCCCACCGAGGTCAGAGCCCGCCTGAGCCCCCTGAGCGTGCCCGGCCCCTCTGGCCCGACACCCCCCGGCCATGCCGCGGGGCAGAGCCGCGGGGCAGCGCCGCTGTGCCCTCACAGCCCCCGTCCGTCCGTCCCTCCCGCTCTCCCCTCCCTCACCGCCGCCGCCCGGCCCGCGCCCAGCGCCGCCATCTTTGCCGGCCCACAATGCACCGCGGGGCGGACCACGTGACAGCGCGGGGGACACGTGACAGCGCGGGGGCCACGTGACACCGCGGGGGCGGGGCCACGTGACACCGCAGGGGGCGGAGCCTCGGCGGCCGCGCGGCGCCCCCTACCGGACGGGCGAGGCAAATGGCGCCTGAATGTCCCAAAATGTCCCCAAAATGTCCCCTAAATGTCTCATAAATGTCACCTGAATGTCCCAAAAATGTCTCATAAATGTTCTCTAAATGTCACCTAAATGTCACCTGCATGTCCCCTAAATGTCTCGTAAATGTTCCCTAAATGTCACCTGAATGTCCCAAAAAATGTCTCATGTCACCTGAATGTCCCATAAATGTCACCTGAATGTCACCTAAATGTTCCCATAAATGTCACCTGAATGTTCCCTTAATGTCAGCTAAATGTCACCTAAATGTCCCATAAATGTCACCTGAATGTCGCCTGAATGTCCCCAAAATGTCACCTGAATGTCCCCAAAATGTCTCATAAATGTTCCCTAAATGTCACCTGAATGTCCCAAAAATGTCACCTAAATGTCACCTGAATGTCACCTGAATGTCCCCAAAATGTCACCCAAATGTCACCTAAATGTTCCCATAAATGTCACCTGAATGTCCCCTAAATGTCACCTGAATGTCCCCAAAAATGTCACCTGAATGTCACCTGAATGTTCCCTAAATGTCACCTGAATGTCACCTAAATGTCTTCTGAATGTCACCTGAATGTCCCATAAATGTCACCTGAATGTCCCCTGAATGTCACCTGAATGTCACCTGAATGTCCCCTAAATGTCACCTGAATGTCCCATAAATGTCACCTAAATGTCACCTATCACCTGAATGTCACCTGAATGTTTCCTGAATGTCAACTTAATGTCACCTGAATGTTCCCTAAATGTCCCCTAAATGTCACCTGAATGTCACCTGAATGTTCCCTAAATGTCACCTAAATGTCCCCCAAGTGTCCCCTCAACGTCCCTCCAGGGACTGTCCCCCAATGTCCCCCTGGGACCCCCAATGTCCCCTCAGTGTCCCCCCAATGTCCCCCCAGTGTCCCCTCAAGTACCCTTGGGGACACGCAGGGCCCTGCCCTTCCAGAGCCCTGCCACCGCTCCTGCACCCCGCTGTGTCCCCAACTGTCCCCTGCCACCCCCCGGTGTCCCCAGAGCCCGCACGGCCCCTCGGTGACACGGGTGACATGGGCAACATGGGTGACACAGGGACATGGGTGACACAGGTGCCACAGGCGACACGGGCGACACAGGTGACACAGGCGACAGAGGTGACACAGGTGACACGGGTGACAGAGGGCACAGAGCTCTTTATTGCACAGGCAGGGAGGGGACCCAAGGTGTCCCCAGGGCTGTCCCCAGACGACAGTGCCACTGCAGGTGTCCCCGGGGCTGTCCCCAGAGGACAGTGCCACCCCAGGGGTGTCCCCAGGGCTGTCCCCAGAGGACAGTGCCACCCCAGGGGTGTCCCCAGAGGACAGTGCCAATGCAGGTGTCCCCGGGGCTGTCCCCAGGGCTGTCCCCAGAGGACAGTGCCACCCCGGGGCTGTCCCGGGGTTGTCCCCAGAGGACAGTGCCACTGCAGGTGTCCCCGGGGCTGTCCCCAGAGGACAGTGCCACCCCGGGGCTGTCCCCAGGGCTGTCCCCAGGGGTGTCCCCAGAGGATAGTGCCACTGCAGGTGTTCCTGTGGCTGTCCCCAGGGCTGTCCCCAGAGGACAGTGCCACCCCAGGGCTGTCCCCAGGGCTGTCCCCAGAGGACAGTGCCACTGCAGGTGTCCCCAAGGGTGTCCCCAGAGGACAGTGCCACCCCAGGGCTGTCCCCAGGGCTGTCCCCAGAGGACAGTGCCACTGCAGGTGTCCCCAGGGCTGTCCCCAGGGCTGTCCCCAGAGGACAGTGCCACTGCAGGTGTTCCTGTGGCTGTCCCCAGGGCTGTCCCCAGAGGACAGTGCCACCCCAGGGCTGTCCCCAGGGCTGTCCCCTCTGTCCCTCCCTGTCCCCTCTGTCCCCTCTGTCCCTCCCTGTCCCCGCTGTCGCTGTCCCGGTCACTTCCTCAGCAGCTGGGCGCGGGCCCGGCCCAGCCGCTCAGCCAGGCCGTCGCCGCCCGGGCCGGGCTCGCAGCGCGCCAGCACCAGCCCCAGCTCGGCCTCGCTGCGCCGCTCCAGAGCCGCCTCCGCAGCCTGCTCCAGCTCCCTGCGCGGGGACAGCGGGACAGCGGGGACAGGGAGGGACAGTGAGGGGACAGAGGGGACAGAGGGGACAGAGGGGACAGAGGGGACAG